CATCCCAATAGCTACTCTAGCGCTGTTGTGGAGAGTTTTTGAACTGTTATTTACTGCTTACAGATGGCCACTTTTTCAACTATTCTACTATGGGAGTTGGTACTCCTTGCTTCCTACTTCCTTCTACACTCCATAATTAAAAGTCGTAGACAGAGACTGTCTACGTTAAAAGTCGTAGACAGAGAATGCTAAGAGATAAGACAAAGTGATATCTTTTATCGCAGTCACACAATAGAAAGAGCAACTTACGCCGATGTCGTGTAAAGAAATGAGAAAGAACAATGAGATTTTTTGTTTCGCTGAGCGTGTCGCGTTTCTTAATATTTAGCAAACCACTTTGCTAAATAAAGTTTGACAGCTAACGTGTAGCGTGATAAATTCTTTGTATAAAATACTGTTTTACGTGTTTTATAATAATTATTTCATATTATATTTTGTTGTGAACAATTAAGACGTAGTATTCCAACCATTTTTATTTAAAACATGGGGTTGTCTTTTCATTCGTAAGTACACCACTCTATCGGTTACTAGGCAGTGTGTAACATGTAAGAAATACAACAGATAATGTACTCTAGACGTAAATTTATCGTTAAAAAAGTACAAAATAACAATTGCAAATTTTAACCTAAAATCTTCGGTGTGGCCAACTTTTCTATAAATTATTACCCACTATTAAAGGAAATAATAATATCTGCATACCGAAGGTAAATTATCCTAAGTCGATTTTTTTCGACATTCACTTTGTAATGTCATTGAAACAAAAAAAATAACGATCTTCTTGGTAGTATAGTATTTTTAAGTGCAACTAAAAAACTACACACTTTCTAACTCGTTAACATGTTTTAAGTCCAGGTTAATTCAAAGGTATACAATATGATCTGGATTTATGCTCTCGTGCCACTCAATTATCAAAACGAAAGCATCCTAAGTCCAAATAAGATGAGAAGTTTGTTTTTGAACGTAAGTTGCACTTTATTATTTGTATTTATTTATTGTATTATGTAAATTGTGCCTTTAGCTGCGCTTGAAGAGGGTGTTCCAAGCACATCTCAAGATGTACCAAATTCTTTATGCCAGAATAATTTACAACAAATTCATAATAATCTACCAAAAAAATAAAAGTTCGGAATAAAAGTACAATAGAGCAGACAGGAAAAAAGCGAATAAGAAATGATCTTAAGCTAACATCAACAAAAGTGCTGCATGTAGCACGAATTGCCGCATGAAATGCAGTACTAAAATATCCGAGCAGAATAAGAAAGAGATATTTACTTTTTTTTGTGGAAATCTTATAAAAAAACTAAAAATAAAATATAATAAAGAAAAAATTAAAGCATCGGTACAAAACCCTCGAGCTCTTTGGTTAACCATTAACGAAATCACCCACTATAAGCCACCCAAGAGCCCAAATGTCGAAATACTTAATATAAAATCTTGTCCGCAAACCTCAATCAACCATGTAAACAAATTCTTTGTCAACATTGGGCAATCACTAGCTGAGAACATCTCAAATAGCTTCATAACTTCGGAAACTACTAACTCTGATAACCATCATCATTCCTCTTTTGTTTTACTAGAAACATCTTGCAAGGAAGTGGAAAATACCTTAATGTCCTTGGACTCTGGGAGTGCACCAGGTTGGGACGGAATCCCTACTTTTTTTCTAAAACGAAGTAAGGATATCCTTGTCCCTTTGATTACCGACCTTGCTAACCTGTGTTTTCGCACAGGAAACTTCCCATACCTTCTTAAGCGCTCCATCGTGACCCCTGTGTATAAGAGTGGAGATAGGGACGACGTAAACAACTATCGACCTATCTCTGTGTTGGCCTCCATTTCTAAAATCATTGAGAAGCTCTTGAACTCTAGAATAGTGAGCTACTTGACCAAGTATAACATCCTATCTACTTCTCAATATGGTTTTAGGAAGGGAATGTCGACACAGGATGCTATCACAGATCTTACATCCATTATAACAAAAGAAGTAGACAAAGGTAACAAATGTTTAGTGACCTTTCTTGACCTCAAGAAGGCCTTTGATACCGTTTCTGTCCCCATTCTTATACGAAGGCTAGAAAGTATCGGATTTTGTGAATCTGCTCTCTCCCTTCTCAGCAGCTACCTTCAAAACAGAAAGCAGGGTGTAAAAATAAATAAACTAATAAGTGAAGAAGAAAATGTAACGTTTGGTGTACCGCAGGGCAGTGTTCTCGGCCTAACCCTCTTTTTGATATATATTAATAATCTCTGTAACTTTGGTAACGTTGGAGGGAGGATACTGTCCTATGCGGACGATACCGCTATTATTTTCACCGCTAAGACCTGGGATAAAATTAGGATGGGGGCTAAGATGGGACTAGGCAGAGTTTGGCACTGGTTAAGTGAGAATCTCCTTACTCTTAACACTCAAAAAACAAATTATGTATGCTTCGCTCCATATATTAATTCGCAGCCGTCACCTAATTTTGAAATAAAAATTCATTCTTGTGGTACGCCTTTCCCCAACACATGTAATTGCCCTGTAATTCAGAAAGTTAGTTGTGTTAAATACCTCGGAATCATGGTGGATCAAAGATTAAGTTGGTATCCACACCTAGAACTAACAATTGGGAGGGTAAGGAAGCTCAGGTGGGTTTTCAAATCTCTGAGAAACGTGATGAGTACCAAGCTACTGAATAAAATATATATCGCACTAGCCCAGCCTGTAATAATCTACTGCATATCCGTATGGGGAGGAGCAGCTAAATCATACTTTATAGATTTAGAAAGGGCGCAAAGATCCTTGATTAAGGTAATGTACTGTAGGCCCTATAGGTTTTCCACCGAAACCCATATACCAAACATCTAAGCTGCTCTCCGTTAGAAAACTTTATATTTTACACATGATACTAAGATATCACAAAACATTACCATTTGACCATACCAAACTTACGAAAAGGCGGTGCGATATTGTGGCTCCCTCATACCCTGCACGTACAGTATTTGCCACTAGACAAAATATATCTCAAGCTCCTCATGCCTATAACAAGATCAACCGCTTACTTAAAATTTACCCAATGCAAATGTTTGAGTGTAGAAAAACTCTGACCGAGTGGCTCTATACTCTTAATTATGATGATGTGGAAAACATTTTGGTCAGAAAGAGATGAACCAGTTTTAAATAACACACACTGACACAACAAATCAGACACACACACACACACACACACACACACACACACACACACACACACACACACACACACACACACACACACGCACGTACACACACACACACACACACACACACACTATACATTTCTCCTAAGCTTCTTTCTTTCATTTTAAAATGCATGAATAACTGTAATATTAAGTTTAAAATGTTTGTATATTTTTTTTTCTGATGTAAATCTAAGTTCATACGATTACGTAGGATGAGCGAGACTCTCCCAACACAAGTATCTTATGATTACTTTCTGGGAGGCCTCGGCAAATAGCTGTAAAATTATTTACTGAAATAAAACATTTTTATTTTTTTTTATTGGGCTCCAGAAAAAAAAAACAATGTTAAGAGGCAATTCATAGTATCATGTGTCCAGTCAAAACCTACAACGAGATAAAGACTGAGATCAGGAGATTTTAATTTCAGTGCTTAGTGTCATTATAACTTAAAATATTTTAATTACAAGATATAATATATAGGTATGTAAGTATGTGGATACTTGGATAGTGAAGTAATTTTCAACTAAGTTTTGTAATATTGTACGTAGGTATTACTTGTGTAGATAAATTATTACTTAATTCTTTTTTACTATAAGTACCTATCTAACAAAAAAAATGAAATAAATTCACCTTTCATAACTTCTACAAACTTCTAAAATCCTTTTACAGAATGATATATCTGAAACCTTTTTTTTGGGCATTTGGCATCCATCCACGCAACAATTATAGTAGGAGCGACGTTTTTCCATTACAAATTATCAAATAGGTAAAATAATATAAATAACACTAAACACTATGTGTTCCTGAGAGGTATGTGTGGCGCCGACGGCAGCAGCGACTGTTGGTGGAGCCGCGAGGTCGCACCAACCTCCTGAGTGAGGCACCTCCGACGCGCGCACACCGCACGCTCAACGTAATAGCTTGTGAGACGGACCTATTTTGTTGTACTCTGTGAATTCACAAAGACAGCATTGTTTGTAATTTGTTACAAAAATTAAATCTAACACTTAAATCTACAGAAATCAGTTAGACAGCTACACTATCGCATTAGGTAATCCTGTAATGATAGTTGTAAGTTTCAGAAATAAATAAATAAATAAAAACAAGGAATATTTCAACAAGTATTTACAAAAAAACTACGTACACACCGTTAAAAAACTCAAAACAAATATTCAATTGCCTACAACGCGCTAGCCTCTACTGCGTATGTTACCCTGTGTGTGTAATTATTTCACGTAGTGTAATTATTTAACGCACGCACGTTAAAAGTATTATAGCGTAGACAGAGAATCTCTGTCTACGTATTATAGGTATTCTGTAGTTTTCTGTGCCATAGAGTCTTCCCGATCGAAAGTGACATTTCTGTTTTCATATTGTAACGGGGCGGGGGTGAAGAGCTGAAGAGTTGAACCAGTAAGGGAGGGGTGTTTTTCAGATTTCAGCTTGTAAAGTGGATATGCGAATCTTAATGTTTAAATGATTTTTTAAAATAATAACTGAAATAGACGCAGTTACCTCTGGTGTTATTTTTTATAATGGTTTTGGTTTCATTTATTTAGAATACCTAAATAATTATGGTTTTATTTAATTAGCGCTTTTGCATCGCCACTTAGTGTTTGAATTATTTTATTATTGGTTTATTTTCCACTTAATATTCATAATTCGTTATTTACATCTGTACAATAAAATCTTTTTGAGTAAATATATTCAATTTTCTTGAAATCTCAATTAAAAGTTCAATCAGTTTCCCACTTTAAATCTTTATTGTTGGTCAATTACCGATTAAGAAATACAGCAAAATGTCTGACGGGCATGGAGAGCCAAATCAACATAGAAAAGAAAGCGTAGCCACTGCTAATGTACCTAGTGACAGCCCTGTGACCGATCCTGGGCATGCCAGGAGCAGTAATAGTGAGGGTACGGCTGCGAAGTTTGAGGGTCAACGCGGAAAATCCGGAGCATTGAAGAAGTCTGCCAGATACCGAAGCAGGTCTTTGTCGGCCTCATCTGCCGATTCCTACAGCTCTACATCATATACTGGTAAGTGATATATTATCTGTTGTTATTGTTACTTTTCCTTTTTTCTTTATCAGCCTATAACTTTTACGGGCTGATAAGGTATACAGATATTGCTGTAAGTGGATCTTTGCTGTTGTAGGCAAGATTTACTTTGTCTCGTTTGACTGGTGTATTGACCAGTGGCAGAGGTCTTGTACCTTAGAGGCTGCTTGCCCTTCCTTGGGCTATTGCTTGAGAATTTTGAGATAGATGAAAATCTGAAATGAATGAAAAGAACTGAATATGCTGTCCCCTTTACAACTTCTATATAATTATAGTTAATGTGACTAAATGTTGGAATTTTTTCTTAACAAAAGTGTATCGGGTGGGTATTGATATAAAAAAAATGGGTGGGTCTATCAAGGGACCACCAAAGTCCATTTTAGAGACTACCAGCATAATAGCAACATAATAAGTATAATGTCTGATTTGTTATAAAGTAAGATAAGTGTTAAAATATATTAAAGGACATGTTGTGTAAAGATAGTTCTAACACATAAAGGACTTTATTTATTTATTTAACAGTTTATGTACACACATATTTTGATAGGAAAGTGGTAAAAACAAAATTATGTGTGCCTTTGGCACTGCTTATGCCATAAACAAATTTCTTCCAGTAGGCCTATTGAAGGATAGTTGAAGGAAATAGAGGTAGTCAAAGTGTGCACTTTTTTAAAATATACAATACAATACAAATATACAAACTAAAAATTTAAAATATACAATACAATATATATATACATACATAAGTATAAAATACAAATATAATATATTATAAGAAAAAAATATATAATTAAATATGTTATATTTTTAATGTTACATATATGAATATCTACACATCATGAATTAATCATTATGGTGTGAATGATAATGCTCTTTAACAAGTCTTTTAAACATAGACACCGACTTAGTGTCACAAATCCTAAAGGGAAGTGAATTCCACAATCTTACTGCATTGACAGTAAAAGAAGAAGAGCATTGTATTGGAAGACGGAAATCTTAACAGTGTTCTAGTATTTGATCTACATGGAACATCTGGAGAATGAACAAAAGTAAAGCGATTTTTTAGATATAGTGGAGTATCAGGGTTATGTAGAATATTGTAAAGTCGACAGAGGATTCGAGTGTTCCAGCGAAGGCGGATGGGGAGCCATTTAAGCTGCTTGCGATAAACAGAGACATGATCGAACTTCTTTAAGCCAAAAATGTATCGAATACATAAATTTTGCAAGCGCTCGAGTTTATTAATTTGCTCCTCGGTAGCATCCAAGTAGCAGACATCAGCGTAATCTAAAATTGGCAATATAAGAGTCTGGACTGTAGATATCTTAGTAGACAAAGGTAGAAAACTTTGAAGGCGTTTTAGAGAATGAAAGGCATGAAATATTTTCCTGCTTACATCCGTAACATGTGCGCCCCAAGTCAAATTGCAGTCGAAAATAACACCTAGGTTCTTGGCAGTATCTAAGTAGGGAATAGTGGCACCATCAATTCGTAGAGTTGGAGAGAGGAGAAATCAAGCTTGCCACGCGCATGTCTTTTACCTATTTTATTTCATTAGGGTTTAATGTGAGACCAAATGATCTCGACCATTTGCTAATCTTATTTAAGCCGTCATTCATAGCTTGATTCGCCAAGTTGGCTTCGGATGCCACAAAATTACGATATAACTGCAAATCGTCAGCATAAAGGTGGTAGTTAGCTGATATGATCTTGGTGATACAATTAATAAAAATGGCGAAAAGCAGAGGAGAGAGGACTTCACCTTGAGGTACACCCGCAGTTACATTATACCATTGGGAGTATATTTCACCTGAATGAACACATTGTGACCGATCAGGAAGATAGGAGCCAAACCATTGAGTAACAGATTTAGACACATTAATCGTCTTAAGGATACTTATAAGGATATGAAAATCAACAGAATTGAATGCACTGCTGAAATCTAGTAGAACCGGAACTGTTAAGTATCCATGGTCCATATTCCAACGGATATCGTCAGTAACTTTAAGAAGGGCAATTGTAGTACTATGTCCGGGTCGGAAACCAGATTGATATGGACATAAGATATTATTTCTTTTGACAAATGCTGAAAATTGCTTGTGGACAATGTGTTCAAGTACTTTAGAAAGAAATGACGAGATTGAAATAAGACGAAAATGAGTGGAAGATGAAGGATTGGATATCTTAGGGATAGGGATAATGTGTGCTAATTTACATGACAATGGAAAACAACAAGAAGATAAAGATAAATTAAAAATGTGTGTAAGAGCGCCTTTAAAGCCGAAGTTATCCAAGAGGCAGTATTATGTTTTATTTTAACATGTTTAACCGGTGCATGAATATCATATAAGTTAAGAATGGCATTGTTAAAGCTGTTTACTTTGTCATCTACTGTTTGGCTAACAAATACCGGCGTCCAATTTATCAAACTAGAGTCGAAAGTTTGACTTCGTTTAGGAGGTCGAACACGATAAGAGAAATAGAAGGTCATGGTATGAGAAAGAAGCGGTCAGTTGTCCATGACTTTGTGAATTGTGCCCAGCCTGTTTGGTTGACTGCAAAACAAAAATAAATATAAAACTTATTTCTATTTGCACTGTGATACGGTTGCCAGGGAACCACTGTGCCTTTAGTAAGTGGCTACATACTGCTATGTGTCATTGAGTCGTTGTATACATAATTATGTCGAAGTCAAAACATTTTTGTTCAAAATTAGCTTTTACATAGCACAGTTTTGAAAGTCAAAAGGTACGCCACTGCTTCAAGCCCCTACTGTGAAAGATCATGTGAGAAGTGGCACTGTGTAGGTACAGATAATAATGCATCTGTTACATCTTTTTCAAGTAGTACTGTTTCTGAGTAGTTAATTACTATTTCACATCCATCATTTAAAATGGCTTGTCCTGATGGCAACATTTTGAACAATCAACCGCAATAAATTACCAAATTAAGGAGTTAGTTGTAAATAAAGGAAAAAGTTAATCAGATTGCTAGCTAGCTAGCTAAATATGGTTTGATACCTTTGATTCCTTTGTGCTTAGATTTGCCTTCAAATTTTTTATAATGCTCCTGAAATTATTCAAAACTGACCTCTCGGACTATTTGTATATTGTAAAATTATTTAAAAAAAACTACCATATTTGTTATATCCGTATTTCTCTTATCAATATATCTTTTGTTAATTTTTTGGTTCACAAATGGTAGGTATTTTGAATAAACCTTACTGAATGAAACTGTTTAAAAACATTTTTATAGAATAACAGTGATAATTGAGCACACAATTCACCTGATGGTAAGTGGTTGCTGTGGCCCATAGATATAAAACATCTATCTATACTCAATTAAGAATCAAAATATGTGTCTCCCGCCATCCTTGAAGATTAAGATGGAAATGCCTTGGTTCCAGTTAAAAAGGTCTCCACTTGTCAACACTCACCACACAAAACACAGTTACATCAAGCTGCTATTTCACACAGGTATTCTTATTCTGTGAGGTTGTGGTCTTTCCCCAGTTGAGTTGACCCATTTGTGCTAAAATCATAATTTAGTTTAGTATGTTCCGTTCATTGCATTCATTGTTTTCATTACATTTAAATTAGGCTCCTAGATCAGACCAGCTCCATGGTACCATATTATTGCATTACCATCAAAGTTTCATAAGTATGCCAATTTTTCGTTTAATTGGATTTGACGACGAGTTTACGAGTACGAGTTTTCGTATGTTCTATAAATTTTTGCAAAATTTTTAGTTCGTCACAAAAAATTTTTTGGTTGATTCGGTATTATTGACTTTACATGAGTTTTTGGTTTAATAATGTCGTCCGGGCCGAATTTCGAACATGGTGGCCAGTCTTATAGGAAATTAGCCATCTGCATGGGACAGGATTATATTCACGAGTATGTGCAAAAGCACAGGTGTACTCTCTATTCGCTCACTCTTTAAGATAGACATGAGAGTACTTCAACGTCGGACGAGTTAAGACGAAATGAACAAGTCCAATTCCTCTTCCCCCGGACCGCAGTCAAGTCAAGTGCAGACGTGTTAACTAATATTATTTTATAACAATTTAAAATCCTAATTAATTCAGTGGTGACAAAAATTCGATTAAAAAAAATAGGAGTGCATAATCGTACCGGAATATACTACGGTCATCGATACCTAAGCCTCGAAGCCCCACCCAGCATCTACGAAGCAGGGACAACAAACTAGCTCCGCCCTATAGACTAATCACTACACATACATACTTCTGCAAGCCTGGTACCGTAAAATTATTGCATTGGAATTAAAATTCTATTGACGAAAATTCGAAAAAATAGGAGTGCAAATCGTACCGGACTTTATTACGGTCATAGATACTACAGCCACGAAGCGCCGCCCAGCATCTATGAAACAGGGACAACCTACTTACTCCGCCCTATAGACTGTAACTACATACTTCTGCAATCCTGGTACCGTAAGTGCATGAAAATTATTAATTAATTTTACGACGACCATTCGGCACTTTTAAAATTTCCACCTACACACCACCTTGCAATATTATTGGAATTAGTGACAATATTGTTTAGTTCCGCCCTTCGGGCCAAGCACTTCGTACTTCTGCTGCCCTAGTATCGTAAGCGACCAAACCGATAAGAAATGTATCGTACACCCGAAAAATCAAGCTCCGAATCTAACTTACGACAAATCTCGAGTAATACTGAATCTTCGCCATCAGCAAGCTTTACAAATACGCGTACTAAGAGGAAGCGCTTGGAGGAGTCACCCATAGACTTCTGCGAGTTTAAAAATGAAATAAAGGATATGTTATCCTCATGGATGTCTCAACAAAATAGCGAAAGAATACAAATTACGTCTTCTCTAAAGACAATTGAGGACTCAATGGCATTTATGACTGCACAATTTGAAGATATGAGGAAAAAAATGGAAGAAATGGAATGCGAAAGACGGAAGGATAAAGAATACATACTCGTATTAGAAA